GGCTGGGCTGGGCCGGGAGCGGCCCTGCCCGCAAACCCCGCCCCGGTCCCCCCCGCAGCCGCCCCCGCGGCGGGAGAAGCGCCGAGCACCTCTCGGGACCCGGAGCTGGGGTGGGAGATCCAGGCTTCCCCCGGTCACCAGCCAGGAGAAACCCACAGCCCAGGCTGCTCCTGTGATGAACCTTCCACCACGGACACCCCGTGATCCCCGTCCCTGCCCGTGTGCCCACGGTGACACCGGGAGAACATCCCCTTCTCCTTAAACAAGGGGACACCGGGAAGAACATCCCCTTCTCCTTAAACAAGGTGACACCAAAGTCAGTTCCAGATCCACTCGGCTGAGTCAAATTTATGGCTGAAAATAGATAAAAGGAGACTTGAGGAGCTGAATCTTTCAAATAGGGGAGAGAAGGTAGAGATGTTGGAATCAAGTGTTTTTGTGGAGACAGAAGTGTTGGGAACAGACCAAGAGATGAACTAAACATGCTCAGAAGAAACATTCAACTAAAGGGCAGAGGGAGAAAAGTTTCTACAATCACCAGCCGACCCCTGACAATGACCAGTACGCTTGTAAAAAGGACATTTACATATATTTACATATATTAATGAGTTCTTGGAGATGTGGTATGTTAATAATTTCTTGGAAAAGGAATGAATATGAATGTTTTGATAGTATAAAGCTTTTGTAGAGAAAGGAGTCGGGATGCACGATGGGTGTAACAATTCCCTGTGCATCCGGCCCCGTGATGAACTCCAGCTCCTTAGGACCACACTGGTGTGAAGAAGTTCATTCCTGATTTCAGTGACAATGATGCACCTTCCTGCCCCGGGTGTTCCCATGAAATGTGCACAGACAAGGGGTTCTGCTCACACATAGCCCCATCATCCAGCAGAAACACTCTGCACATGACCCACGTTTGGATTACCTGCCTCACATGTCACCCAGCCCATCCTTGTGCACACACCAGACCTTTGGTGGAACCTTCTGGAAGGCACTGAGCTCCTGGTGGCTCTCAGTCTTGTGCAGGGGATGGTTTTGGACACAATAATCCAAATTGTGGACCCTGCAGGTGACTGGTGACCATGAGGACAGCAGGACTGGCAGTGTAGGGCTGTGCAAGGGTTCTGTGTGCCCCTTCATACCCCGTGTCAGGGGTGGCAGGATGGTGGGCTCTGTGTGTCCTCCTCCACCAACAGCCCCAGGGATCAGGCAGGTTTCTGCTGCCGGTGGCTGGGGCTGTGCTGACAGCCCTCCTGAAATCACAGAATCACAGAATGGTTGAGGTTGGAAGGGACCTCTGAAGGTCATCTAGTCCCACCCCCCTGCTCCAGCAGGGACTCCTAGAGCACATGAACCAGGAGTTTGTCCAGATGGGTTTTGAATATCTCCAGGGAGGGAGATTCCAAAGATCACGGTAGTCTCCAGTCCTACACTGATGTCCCAGCCACCGCAAGCACACAGTGAGGTACCGCACACTACAGGCTCTGTCAGTAATTTCACTCTCTGGATTAGTTTGCTGATCCTCCAAACACAACGTCCCCTCGTGCTCAGAGCCTCCCTGATCCCAGCTTTGTCGAACAACAGCCGCGCTCCGCGTTTGGGGGCCGATGAGCACCCGGCTGCACAAAGGGAGCTGGGCAGCAGCAAGGAGCACAAAGCAGAATTGCAAAATCAGACAGGAGGCATTTTACACCCCCCCAGGACCTTGCCAAGCTGCAGTCCCCCCCCACGCCGAAGCTTCTGGCCTGTCCAACAGTCCCAGCAGCACCCAGCACTGCTGCAGAGTGTGACCAGCCACCCAACATTGCCCAACACCGGTTCCTCCTTGCCCTGGTGTCTGCAGCCCTTGCTCGGGGTAACCTCAGCCGACTGCCAGCAGTCGGTCTGTTCTCTCTGCCAGTGT